ATACGAGAGGGCGTAGACAACGCGTATGCTGCGGACGATTAGAAATAGCAGCGGTTGCAGCGGTCAAGGCAGGGCATTGGGAGTGTTGTCGCACCTTTTCGAGTGCCAGTTCCACCACTTTTGTGCTAAGAGACTCCAACTTTTTCACCCAGAAAATCACTTTTAGGTTGTATATACGGCTCGTGCCTTTAAGTACCACTGCATGATCTAGGCGATTTTTCTGTAAAGTATAAATGGTCGAGAAATCTGAAAAAAAACTTATTTAGGCTGGCTTCGCCCATGGCAATATTGATTTTGTGGTTTATTTTGCGATTGATTCCTTTTTGTTTTTTTCTTGAACGTACTGATGTGTGTATGGGCACAATTGTTTTAAGGGCAATTGGTGTGGAGCCTGTCTCTCGAAATCAAACTGGATAAGGCGAGAGGAACTATCGGTGTTGAAAAAAAACGAAATGAAATCATAGAAATAGACCAAGAGCCTCGTCTGTCGTGAGGTGTGTCATGGTAGGAATGGACAGAGACGGCCGTGGGGAAGAGGACAGTGCGAAAAGAGCACATCATACCGAGAGGCGCAGGGAAACGCGTTGCTGCGAACGAGGCAGCAGTTGCAGCGGTCAAGGCAGGGCACTGGAAGTCTTGTCGCGCACTTCCGAGTCGTGACAGTGACACAACTTCTATGCTTAACTCTCAAATCCTCGTCAGAGAGAATCGCTTTAATGTGAAAAAGCGGGTATTGCCTTTAACACGTTGACGACCGTGTGGTATGATGTCATACCACACTCTTTCGGCCACGTGGGACCGTGTGACATGATGTCATGTCACAGTCTTTTTTAAGCTGGTTTTCAAACATTTTAGGTAACTTATTTACGTGATGTATGCGCCATACTTAGGCATTGTTACAAAAGGCGTGGTCCCTGGAAAGAAGCTTCGGTTGATGGGCTATCGAGTTTTTCTAAAAATGTTTGAATAATGATCAAATCACAGGAATCGCTAAAATGGCCAAAATCGCATAATCGGAGACCTACCACACAAGAAAGATAACAAATACACACTTCCTGAGAAAAAGGAGTTCTTGTGGGACCGTTTGACATGGTGCCATGTCACACTCGCGCGGTCCCACACGCCAGACAGCGAAAAATAGCGCGGTCGTCAACGTGTTAAGTACCGCTTACTTGACTAGAAGATTTTTTTCTGAAATGTGTAAATATTTGAGAAACCATAAAAGCTAATTCAAGCGGGTTTGCCCATAACAATATTTATTCTGTAGTTTGACTTTACGATTGATTCCTTTGTTTTTTCTTGTACGTACTGATGGATGTATGGCACAAGTGTTTAAACAGCCTGAAACAATGGACAACACTCACCAGAATAAGATCCACCGAAAGTGATCCATTTAGCGGGTTTGTCCAAAGCTAGCTTGACGTTGACAGACTGTATAAAATTGGCAACATCATAGAGCATTTGCAGGGAAGAGAGATAAGGTTGTATAGATCTTACTCTTGAATGCATCGGCTGCTCTACAAATGTTATTTTATGATTAGGTGATGAATATTGTAGGAAATACTATAACGTCAGATAGACTCGTACCCGATCAGATTGCTCTCTCCATAGTATCTGTGTTCTAGAAGATAGACCGTTGCTCCGAACGTTTTTGCCCATTTCAAATAGGTGAGATTCTCGTTGACGACCCATCGAGGGTGCCTTGGTGATTCGCCGCCAATCATCAGAAAGATTGGACCGACCGGCTTGGCCCACTGTTTGTTTTTGAAGAATCTCTGTCATAAAATTCGAAATCCTATTTAGGAGAGAGTTTCATGCAGAAGGACATTTAGCAGTGGGTGGATCACTTCTTTGCGTGAGCAGGATGGAGCCGTTACAAAGGTCGAACACGTGACTCTCACTCCACTGAATTGCTAGACAAAGGCAAAAAAGGTCCGATATGACCGCCGCTGACTGCAGATCCTCTTGCTCGCAACCACTCCATGGGCCGCAGCAGAGCCCTCCCTGGAGTGTTGCACAGGAGCGAGGGGGAGGGGGCCGGATGCCCTATGGAGCGTTGGGTCATTTTCTCTGTCTGTTCCCTCTCTCCCTTAAAGGAATCCTTCACGGAAAAATCATGACTTCTATTTCAGCCATAAATCACGGCTTGAGACTCATTATCCACGATAAGAATGAAAAGAACAGAAATATTGCTTTTGTTTTGGTAAAAAATTCGAAAAATCGAAAGGGCTGCTACGCGTTCAAAGTGCCCACGGACGTCTTTCACAAATGCTGGCGACGGGGATGCTTCCACTTGGTTCTTGGAGTGCCTTCACTAGAAACTCTTTCTGGCCTTCTGCTTTATTGCATTCACATCTTACACTTCTACTCCATCCTATTCCATCGATCGATTTGTCTCCACTCTCCGAAATCGCGCGCTTTAACCCGATTCTCTCATTGCGTCGCCTGATACGTAGCCGGCCAAGGCCAACTTCTTTCCATGCCTCGCCTTTGGCTCCGCCCGAATTACCTTCGATTGTCCATAGAGTGTAGTTTTTGTACGTTTGTTTCTCTTCGGAAGCTCTTCAGGAAAATCTTCATGCGTGAAACTTGTGTGCTGTTCCAGATGATCAAGACCACGAATCATGTCAAAAAAGAATGCAGGAACTCTCCGCGAGGGATTCCTTTAAAGCGGTGAGCGCTGCTGTGCACCTGCTTTCTCGTTGTAAATAATTCCATCACAGAATAAGGCTTTCAATTAAAGTTTTTTCTTTCGGCGGTTTTCCATTTTTCCCCAGGATGTTTACTTCACTCCTCTGCAATCACCTGCGGACGGAAAAACCACATTTTGTGATCGTGGATGCACCGGTTGAAATTCCTCTGTCCACTTCTTCTTCTTCTCTAGCGTTAGTCCCGCGCAGTCGCAGGGTCCGCTGTCTTTGTCAGTCGTCGCCACTTTGCTCTGTCCAGGGCGTCCTCTGCTGTGGCCATGACTTCACTTAGATCCTTCTTGATCACCCTCTCCACCTCTTCTTTGGGGCTCCTCGCGGTCGCTTGCCTTGCACTTCGAAGTCCATCGCTTTCCTTATCGGGTGGTCCTGTGGCCTCCTTAGCACGTGCCCATACCATCGTTGCTCTCGCATCCTTCAGCTGGACAGGGGCAGTCTGCATGACCGCTCTGACATCCTCGTTTCTGACCCTGTCCAGCTGCGCCCAGCCGCAGGCCCATCTCAGCGGAGTGAAACTGACTCCCGATTCTTGTCAAAAGGCCACCACTCACAGCCGTAGAGCACTGCAGTCCTTCACACTGACTCGTCCCCAACGCACATCTCTTATTTGAGGACGAATTCACGATGAAAAAGCAACCCATTTCAAATTAACCTAGGATGGTGAGTGGTACACGAAAGAAGGAAAAACCATGAGAAACGGCCCAGAACCCGAGAAATGGGACCCCTTCCTTGCCCGTTGATTTGCGCATTGATGCGACTCTCATCGCTGTGCCCTCTTCAACACTACGCTCTCTGCTATCTAATCACCACGTATAGACCTGCGGCGAGTGATTAGATAGTCGGTGGGCGTACCCCGCCAACCGCGCCAAGAGTGAGCCATGCTAGATCGCCGAGGTCAAATCTTTCGCTGCCAATTGCGCGTCGGTCAGCACCCTCAGGAGGTCCGCCTGTCTCCCAACTATGCAATTTTCCTTTCTTTGACCTTCGTTCTTATCGTGAATTCCTCCTTTGAGGGAAGTGAAGAAGTCCTCGATTAAGAGCCTCATCGGCGGTTGCTTTGTTTCTTTTCTTCATTTTCAGTCTAATCGCCATCCACAATTTCATTGTCGACCAGGTGTTATTCCACCGATTCGATCTGAGGTTATTGCTTTGAGTAATGTCTTCAAAAAATCGATTCCGGAGGTGCTAGTGGTTAAAGGGAGGGTCGTGAAGAATAGAAATGCAGCATATTATGGTTTATGCGCACTGACTACTATTGGGCGGTTGAGGGACTCTCACTAGCACCATGCTGACATCGGTCGCTTTGCTAAGGAAATCTCGGTCTTCGTCGAAGGGCTAGAGCGCAGAGGATGTGGGACGCTTCTGAGGTCACCAACTGGGTGTCATGAGATGTCGGTCAGACTCTGCGATTGCATCGCGCGATGCAGTCGCTCTGCCAAAAGTGCAAGCGGCGGGCAATGGCCCGCCGCGATCGATACCGATGTCGACTGCATCGATGTGGGCGGGGCCAATCGCCCGTCGCTTGTGCACATTGCAAGAGCGACTGCATCGCGCGATGCAATCGCAGAGTCTGACCAACATCTGACCGTTGACTCAACTTCATCAATTCTTACGCACCTTTCATCTTGGAAAGTGACACGTATTAGCTTTCGCTACATTTCTATTACTATCATTAGCATATGTCTGTAGAGCACAGCCTAAACCCAACAGTTTACGCACACACTGCCTATTTCTACGCCTCCGTCTCTGAGAGATAAGTGTGAACTAATTCATCACTTTTTCTGTGGAAGGGAATAGTCCAGCATTTATTGATAAGATGAAAATAGTGAAGTACTGACCAAAGTGCATACGGCGTCTGGGTTATCGAAGCTGGTCCACTGGCTGTGTACGAAGAACCCGGAGCACTCGTATTCGGCCTGCATGGCTTGATAGCTGGAGAAGTAAATTTTCACGATAATTTACTGAAGGGTTTCCCACTGTTTAGCGCTGCACTTTTACCAAACGATTGAGTAGGGCAACGGCATGATCATCAGAGGAATTTTGTTGTGTACCCTATTCCTCAGAAACCGGAAGCGCGTCCCAACCGGAGTGCCCAGAACACACACACATGGACAGGTATCCAATGAACTCTGGCAATTAGTGATCATAATGATAGCTGATGATTTGTAAATGAGAGTTGCAATCAGTAGCAACTGAAAGAGTACAACTGTAACAGCCTAATAATTCTATTGGCAGAAAATGTACACATTTTGTTCAAGCCGTCGTCACATGTGGTGTGTGGTCTGGTCCCTGCACCTCAACGAGCTTCGTAGTTGTTGAAGCAGGTATGCACACAGGTATTAAGAGTTCATCAAGCCTCTCATTTCTACTGTCTCTGAAAGGCTCGCCCTAGAAATTAATGCGCTACTCCTTGTGGTGTTTGTGAACCTTAGAATCTTGAGGATCAACGGCATTCAGTTGAAATTATAAGTTTATTCTTTAGTAGTGTGACGCGTAGCAGGGCGCTACTTGGTGCAGATAGCAAAAAGAGATAAAGCTAAGACACGAATTTGTCAAGATCGCATGGGTACATTTCCCACTTCTTTTCCCTTTCGATGGTCGAAATCTTTGAATTAAGATACAATCACTTTTAAGCCCGTCCCTGGGGCGTCAATCTTTATTCCGCTCCTTCTTTGGACCAAATTATTAGGTTGGAAAGAAAGTCCTGCAACACTTTTTCAAATTTTTGATTTTAATTTTATCTTTTTTGGTTACAACTTCTGACCGGTCTTATATCTACCATGAGTGTCCACCACTTGTCTCCATCGCTCAGAAAATTTCTTGATCCTCCTCCGCCAAAACCCAGCGGAGTGCGAGTCGAGAAAGGAGGCGACCTCACTTTCGGATAGGTAGCACTTATTTACAGCTCGACCAGGGGATACGCTAAGAGAGGAAAGAAATCTTGCCGCAACTCCAGAATTTCTTACCGGGCTCATTTCGGATCATGGTGATTCGCAATGTCATGAAAGAAATGAATATTGTCGCGGTACGAGGGCTCTTGACGAGCTACCTCGGCCAGCTTCTGGTACCACAACCTAGGCCACTGCCTACACAATGGTGCCATAACGAAGGGTATGTAGTGGAGCTTCTGTAAGAGCCCTACCTGTAATGGAGTGTGAGGGATGCTGCTGGCTTCTTATAAAAATATCAAAAGATCGGAAGCGCTGGTAAAGGTGAAACACGCTGTATCGCTGAACGGCATGCCATTAGAAGCTATTGCAGATAGTGTCAGTCGTTGACACGAATCCATGGTTTTGTAGACATTTGTACTAGACAGTGACTCGGAGTACGGATTTGCTAGTGGTCGAGATTTTTTGAATTTTCTTGGATACCTACTGACTGCAGAACTTATATCCACCTCGTGGATTGAAGCCTTGAGAATGCTCTATCATTTGGTAGTCATAAATGTTACCTATGAATTTTCAGAAAAAAAAGAAATTTTGGAAAGAGTGTTGCAGAACTTTCTTTCCAACCTAATAGTATACAAGCTAGAGTTTCGCGATGGGGGGGGGGAGTGGGGAAGGTGTGAAAGTCTACATAGAAGCCACATGTTGGAGTGCGGCGGCTAGGAAAACATGCCTGTCGTATTAGTACATTTACTAGCATTAAATTATGTAGAGGCAAATCAAGCCTTCCACTTATCCGGGGCAGTCAACCTACAGTGTACGGAGTAACAACGGGGGGTTCGTACTGCGTTGTAGTGAGTGGTAGTGGAAGCGTAGTTTATAGAGAGGAATATGGTGATCGAGGTGTCGGAAGGGGGGTCGTACCAAATCCACCTTGGGGGAGGGGGGTCGTAAAAATTTTTCGAATAGTAACAACGATAGGGTTGACCCTGCTCCGGGTCGGTTATATTAAGGTGTAAAATTTGCTTTCTGAATATATCTGAATGCACACTGCATTCATCACCTATATTTGTCAGTGATGGAAACGGAATGCATGGCGCATTCCAAAAAATTTTATTGATGCCATGGACCAGGTACTGGTCAAAAAATTGGCCAATTACAAGTGGAGTGTACTGACCATATCCGGCTCCGGGAGCAGTCCGTAAGGAGGCCTCCCCAAATGGACTCTTCGTAGTATTCTGCTCTGTTCAGGGGACATCTTTGCAAGGGAAGCCTAAAATTTCACATTTTCTTTCGACACGAACAGATTGGAGCGAAGGTTCAAATTACTACGACTGTCTAGGCTATCATCCAACATTTTTGTTGAAATAACAGCTTTAAAAAAAGCTGGAGGCAAAAATATGTTCACCCGGGATAAATGCTGTCCTGCAGGTATGAAAGCGTTTTCCATTCCTTCCAAAGGATGTTTCATTTCCGGTCCCACCCAGGGCTTCCACGGCTCTTCGACTTCTGAATGATCTCTTAAAAAGTCCGTACTCTAATATTTTCACTTAAAAAACCGTAATAATATAAATGCTTACTACGATAGTATGTGGGAACATTTAGAAATCCAATTGTCGATATTTTGAGCGATCAGCTGCGTGGAAGCCTTCATTTCTGGTGGGTTGCGAGGTTCGAGTGGGAACATATCGTCGCAGTGAGCACTATCTGTATGTTATTCAATTCCAGTAACTTCAATTTCTTTTTTTTAAATGAATATCAAAAATATAATAACTATTAGGTTGTCTCATAAGTAGTGGCGCATTTTTTCAAACGGAAATTTTTCTTGTGAACCTCTAATGTTTTACAATGTTTCATATACCATTCGATAGGAAATTATCTGCTCTACAAGAAGGTATGTACCCTTTTTTTGATTGTTGCAAATTGTTTGAGTTTTAGGCATGCAAAGTGGGAGGTCCGGACGACGAATTTTCGCCAAACCGACAGCTGACCTAAACTTTATACTTCCCTAGAAGAAATCAATCAATAATGTAACTATAACTTACTCATAACCTCTACTAAACATTCCACATTTAGGTTCCCTAAAAGCTTGTCTCGTTTAATTTTGAGATTTAGTTATTCCAGTGCAACTCGGTGGTTGCCTGTCAACCCATAGGGCTTCCTTCAGACTGATATTTTCCATTCCAATTCCTCAGTATTGACGCTACTTTATACACCTGTAGGAAGCGTTTCTTCTGCTCTACTTACCCGCATGCAGAATTTGGTTTTGATTTCAATCCTGGTCGAGTTTCAGCATAGAAAATGGTGGTATGTCAAGTCGACGAAAAGGAACACTTCCGGCACCTTCTGCTGTTCACCTTCAACCAAGGATCGAGTGCCACAAAAGCCGGCAGGCAACCACCGAGTTGCACTGGAATAACTAAATCTCAAAATTAAACGAGACAAGCTTTTAGGGAACCTAAATGTGGAATGTTTAGTAGAGGTTATGAGTAAAGTTATAGTTACATTATTGATTGATTTCTTCTAGGGAAGTATAAAGTTTAGGTCAGCTGTCGGTTTGGCGAAAATTCGTCGTCCGGAAGCTCCCACTTTGCATGCCTAAAACTCAAACAATTTGCAACAATCAAAAAAGGGTACATACCTTCTTGTAGAGCAGATAATTTCCTATCGAATGGTATATGAA